CTAAATGTTAACATTGCTCTGCCTATAAACAAAATACTAACATTTTCAAATTGTCATGTTATGTTGTTGTGATCAAACTAACCAATCTGTAGTTACAACACTACTAAGTAAAATTATAATAATAGTAAGTTAAATAACAAAAAATCAGAGGTGTTTTGACAGCAACCAATTTCTGTAAGATTCAATGACAAGTGTATCTCAAACTAACTACAACATCCTCCAACTAACATTTTTCATCATTAACTTCATGTTTCATTCTCTTCCACTGTATAACCCAGTGACCACACTGCAACCCACCAAGATGATGCCATGCCAATCATGAAGTATATATACATGTTGTGTCTTGGGTAGCTTGAATATCATCCTCTCCAACATTGATTTTGTATACCATCTCCAGAACACTATTGCTATCAACTTGAATCTGATTACTTTTGCCAACTAGCATGAACAATGGGTCACCATCTTTTTTGTAATAAAGATTGATGGGAATGGCCACAACCTTAATCATATTGATAAATGCATGGGCGGGAAATGAATATTTTTGAGAGGGAGAGGAATAGAAAGAAGAAGAGGGAGAGAAGGACGAAGACGGAGAGAAAGAGAAGAAGGAAAGAGAAAGAGATGGGATGATGAAAGAAAGAGAAGAAGGGTATTTCTGTCTTTTTAGTCTGATTTCATAATTACAATTTGAGACCGGGTCCTTTATAGTAATTTAACTTATTCAGGTGACCTCTTTATAATTTTGATAATTCAAGGGTCTTTATTTATCATTTTTTCAAAAAAAATTGGAGTGCTGAGCTCCTTTATCCTACTTCTTATATAGACATTTGTACGAGCACGTGTCATATCTCAATCATGTACAAATAATGTACTTCTCAGGTCCTATTCATAGGACAGAAAGGAAGACATTTTTTGTCTTATTTACAGGGTATTGAGAGAAATTTTTGTGTGTAAATGTACAATTTTATCCATCATTTATTATCTTATTGATTTTATTTATATGAGGTATAATATATATTAAATAGGAATAAAATTAGAAAGTTAATAAATTTTAAATAAAAATTAATGAAGTTTAAAATTTTTCTTAATATATATAAAAAATATTAAAAGAGTTTTATAAATAGAATTATAGGAGTATATTACAGAACTAGATTTTAGTCTGAATCCGTAGGAAATGAAGGACAAAAGAACTGTCGGCCCCTAATGAGAGGGCGCATGGAAAACGATGTAGAAACTTTTTATTGTTTCGTTATTCACCAAGAGAAACTTTTTATTGTTTTGTTTTTCTTCTTTTAATTCTCTGAAAACTTTTTAATACATTCTCAATTAGTTCACACTAACAAAACTAAAAAATAAAAATAAAATTCTTCAAAACTGTAATTATGTTATTACATATATAATATAAAAAATGATAGAATATTAAAAAAATTAGCATTCCAAATATATTGACATCCGTGAGAATAATATATTTACAAAGAATATAATAAAATCATAAGAGTTTAAAAGAAAAAAAGTTAATGAAACACCTAAAATATGTCCCTATGCTTCCGGATGTTTAAATAAAACCAAATCATAGTTTAGAAAATAATTTCTGAAAAAAAATTATTTTCAAAAATAAATTTTGAAAAAATAGATTTTATGAAAAAATGATTCTGATAAAATAAAAGTATTTGGATAATTGTTATTAGAAGTACTTTTTATATGTATAGATTATTAAAAATGACATAAGTTAATATGATAATTAATAAAAGATAAATTTGTTAATAATATATTTTTTGCCAACATAATAAATAATATATAAAAATATAATTAATAACTAATTAATATGTGTATATGTATTTACAAAATCTAAGATTAAATCTGTTTTTAGAAAAATGATTATTTTTTTTCAACAAAAAAATATTATTCTACCTTAAAGACTTTAAACATGAAATTTCATAACATTTTTTCACAACTAGTTTTTTTAACAACATACTACTTCCAATATTTAATATAAAAGCTATTTTAATATTTAATTTGATCATAAATATAAAATCTCAATTTATTTTGTTTATCATGTTTATCTATTTTTTTAAAGTAATCTTTATAACAGTTAGATATGTTAAATATTTCATCAAATAGTACTTCTAGTTAATATGTATGATTAGAAAGAGTATTTTAAGAAAGACAATACCTATTTATTATAAATAATTAATTTAACTAATTTTATTATTCTACTCAAATGAGTTAACTAACTTTCATACTAAAGATTAGAAGTACTATTAGAATGTAGAAAAAAAGACCACATTTTCAAAAGCAATATTTTTTAGTTTTTCATGAAATTATGATTTAGATGGGTCGAACTATAGTCTTGAAATCAAACTATAATTTCATAAAAATGTAAAGTGTTTAGCCATTTTTTAGACCAAAACATGATTTAGGCTCTAAAGTGATTTTGGACAAGTTTAGCAAACACCTTTTAAAAAAGAAGCCTATCGCTGGTTAGCATATTTTCTTCTCTCTCTCTTCTTCATCTCTTGTTCGTCTTTCCTTTTCCTCCTTCGGCTTTCATCCTCTGGTTGGGGACCATCTGATAGTGATTGCTTCCTATTTCTCAAACTTTTTATCAGCACTCTGTTTTTCAAACTCGTTCTTCTACTGTTTCCTTCAAGTCTCAGAAGAAATCATTCAAAATCAAACATTCATTTCCTAAAAAGTCCTGACTTCTAGTTCTTGTGTTAGTGTCCCCCATATATTTGGTGTTCACTCCTTTTTTTTCCCAGCTTTCAGATCAAACTTGTTTTGCTGTTTTCTACGTACTAGCTACTTTTCAAAAACCCAAAACGAAATTTTTGTTGTTGTTGGCATTTTCCTTTGTTAGATTTGTTGTTTTCTTGTCAATCATATGCCCATAAAAATCTGAAAAAAAAAAACGTGGAAGTGTCTGGTTTGAACAAAGTCTGTTGCTTTTCCTTATGGTCAATCTTGTATAAAAGTCTCCAAAAAAAAAAAAAAGACAAGTCTTTGCCTTAAAGATTATGGAAGTGTCTGCGTCATCCATAGAGTTCAAGAGAGATAAGAAATTGTGCTGGTAAATTCTGGCTCTTGATAGTTTTTAGATGAAATAATTAAGCATGAGTGCTATGATTGGAATACCTAATCCGTTTCTTATCAATCACAGAACTTTCTCACAGCTGAGGCAAAGACCACAACCACAGCATCGCCTCATCTGCTTCAGGTAACTTCACTTCCTTATTGTTGTTTCTATCAGTATTGCTTTTATTGATGATCTTGGTATAGGTGCCGCTTCATGTTACCTCAATTTCTGTTGTTTTTTTTTTTTCCTTTTTCCGGAAATAACTTATTTCCGAAAGTATATGGTACATGGAAAGAGTTTTGCCCGTAGTTCGTCGGAACTAGGGGCACTCCCACACCAATTTAATTCTAAGCATAATTAGAAATTAGTCTGATTGTAAACATAAGATTTAATTTTTTATATTTATTGATTTTTTCTATGTTATTCTTATTGATTATTTTGAAAAAAATAACAATTTATTATAATTAATTAATTTATTTAACTTTTTTAATTTGATTAAACTAATTAAATAAGTTTTAATTTAAATTAATATAGTGTGGTACAACTTATATGGACATTTGTACGAGCAGGTGTCATATCTAAATCAGACATCAGTTACAAAATTACAGCTAAGCATGAGCTGGATACATTTACTCTGCCAACCCAGTACTCTTTTTACCTTGGACTTCAATCTTATTTAAAAAATTACAATTAAGCTCCTGTGATAAAATTTATTTTATATTTTAAACGGGAGGCGGGGAGGAGGGAGTGTTGCTTAGTGCATAATGGAATAAAAATGACGCAATCTCACTTAAATTAACTTTTCTTTTAACTCCGCCATTGACACTTGAACCTGCTGGTCAAAAAAAAAAAAAAAAGGAAGACAGCTGAACTTTTTTTTTTTCTTCGGAATAATGACACCTCAGTCGTTTCGATATGCCCCATGCTCTCCGTCCTCCTTGCAGACTTGTATCCAATTGTCTATGATTGATGGGAAGGATACGGAAAACAGGAAAAGGTAAGAAACTCAGGGCATTTATTAAAATTATAATTATAAAATAAAAATACTTGTTAATGAGAAAATTTTGAAAATACATTGTAGATAATTAAATATATATAATTAATTTGGGAAGATTAAAGAAGTTAAATAAATTACTTTAAAATATTTATATTTATTTTTTTCTAAAATTAATTTACATGACTTATAAACTAATATATAATCTCATGATACATATAAGTATTTTAAAGAAATTATATAATATATAATTAAATTAAGTAAGTTGTTAGTTTTTTTAATCTCTTTAAATTAACATACTGGGTTTTACATTAAAAGGCTAGAAAGTATTCTCTCTCTCTCTGGTAAAAAAGTAAAAGTACCCGAGTGGATCACATTGACTTGCAGTGTAGAAGGAAGCCGAAAGCTACTCTATGGAGCCTTGAAAAAAAAAAAAAAGGTCAGTTTAAAGGATAAGCTCATTTACCCCATCCAAACATGTCTGATCTTCAAATTTCTTCCTAACTTACATTTCATATTGTCCAATGTGCGTTCACCTTCCAAACGTTATACCAAACACGTGCTAAATAGTTCCTCACATCCTAAAAATGCCTCTATCTACCAAACACATGCTAAATACTAAAAGTTCCTCACATCCTGAAATGCCTTTACCTACCACCTCAACCGCCGTTGGGGGAAAAAAACAAGAAGAATAATACCTAGATTCATTGAACCCTTCGAAACTCGAATTTGAATCTGAATCTGAGAGCTATTTCGAATTTACTACTAGTCATACTGCCTTTTATTAGTTAAAGCCAAGCAATTGCATGCGTGGGCGTGGTTTATGTATGCGTCCCTTTTTCGTCATTTTCTTGGGGGAGTCATTATTATAACTGTGACGCCTGTTTATCGAAGCTTTAAATTTTTTATCATTTTATTCAGGAAATAAGAATGGAAGTTCTCAATTCTATTGTTGGAAAAATAGCAGAGTTAACTCTGATACCCATTGGAAGGCAAGTGGAATATTTACTACTTTACAAAGAAAATCTGAAGGAGCTAAAAGATAAAATTGAGGAGTTGAACACAAGAAAAGTTCGCATCGAGCATAATGTTGAAGCAGAAAGAAGGAATGGAAGAGAAATCGAAGCTGATGTAAAAAGTTGGCGGAAAAGAGTTGATAAGACCTTGGAAGAAGCAGAGAAACTTTGTGAAGATGGACCTCATGCTAGTGTACGGTGTTGGAAATGGTCTTTTCCTAATTTGAAATCACGACATCAACTTGGTAGAAAAGCGAAGAAAATGACATTCACCATTGCTGAACTGAAGGAAGAGGGGAAGTTTGATGGTGGAGTTGGGTACGTCCCTGCTTCTAGCACGGCAAACTTAATTTTTGCTCCTCAAGGCAGTGAAAAGCTTGAGTCAAGAAACTTAGTGAAGCAGAAGGTTGTGTTGTCTCTGATCGACCCCAACGTAAACAAAGTTGGAATTTATGGGTGGAGTGGTGTTGGGAAGACAACTCTAGTTAATGACGTTGCCAAACATATTAAGGATGACAAGTTGTTTGATGTGGTGGTTATGGCAGCTATGTCCCAACCATTGGATGTTGAAAGGGTTCAAGATGAGATTGCTTATCAATTAGGCTTTCAATTGGATGAGAAGATTTCAATCGGAAGAGCTGACTGCCTTTGTGCAAGGATAAAAATGGAGAAAAATATCCTTATCATACTAGACGAGTTATGGGGGAAAATTGATTTAAAACAGTTGGGAATTCCATCTAAGCAAGATCTTAAGGGTGGAGAATTATCATTGAGTTTTAAACGTTTAGATATTTCACAGAAGAATGAAACTTATCAGGGTTGCAAATTACTGTTGACCTCTACAGGTTTAGATATTTTACAGAAGAATGAGACTCAAAGAAACTTTGCTCTTGAAGCATTGAATAATGCAGAATCATGGAGTTTGTTTGAAGATATGGTTGGTGATGCTATTAAAGATGCCAATTTACAAGAGATAGCAACCCAAGTGGTTGAAAGATGTGCGGGTTTGCCTGTTATGATAGTCTCAATTGCAAAGTCATTAAAATATAATAAGAATACTCACTATTGGAAAGATGCCTTGAACAACTTAAAGAGAGTTGATAATGGAGACATGTATGGGAATGTTTCTTCAGCTTTTGAATTTACTTACAACCGACTGGAAGATGATGAAATGAAGAAAGTATTCTTGCTATGTGGTGTTCATGGACCATCCATGTGGGTTAGTGACTTGTTGAAATATGTAATTGGCTTAGGTGTTCTGAAGCACATAGATACCGTTGAAGATGCAAGAAACCGTCTCTATAGAATAATAGATGACTTAAAGGCATCTTGTTTGCTACTTGAGGCTGATGAAAGTGAGACCTATGTGAAGATTAAAATGCATGGCATTGTTGAAGAAGTAGCTGTTTCAATTGCTCGTAAGAATGAACATGTTTTTGTGCTGAGAAATGGCAGGATGCAAGATTGGCCAAGCAAGGGATTTCTTGAAAGGTGTACTCAAATAATCTTAGAAAATTATTTTATCCAAGAGCTTCCTCAAAAGTTAGAGTGCCCTAATTTGAAGTTTTTTCACTTACAATGCCCTGATAATTGCACTCTGGAAATTCCAGACTCCTTTTTTGAGGGAATGAGAAGCCTTGAAGCATTAGATTTGACAGGCTTGGTGATGTCTTCATTGCCTACATCTCTTGTTGCCTTGACCAAACTTAAGACATTATGTTTGGATCAATGCACTCTAAAACATATGGCCAGAATAGGTGACTTAATAAATTTAGAAGTTCTTAGTCTCATTGATTCATTCATAGAGGAGTTGCCGAGTGAAATAGGACAATTGACTCACATAAAAATGTTGGATTTGACGAATTCTAGAATTAAGATCATTCCACCCAACACTTTGTCCAAGTTCACTAAAATAGAGGAACTTTATATGGGCAATGCCTTAGTTAAGTGGGAGGAGGAAAGTTCAAGTGAGCAAAACAAAAGTGCTAGTCTTGCTGAGCTTGGGTGTTTGACAAACCTGACTACTTTAGAAATTCAAATTCGTGAGGCTTGGATGCTGTCGAGGGACATGATGTTTAACAACTTAGAGAGATACAAGATTGTTATCGGAGATAAATGGGAATGGTCAAGGAACAAAAGTACCTCAAGGTCGCTAAAGCTAAAGCTTGATACTAGCATTCATTCGGAAGATGGGATTAAAGCATTGATTGAAAAAGTGGAAGATTTGTACTTAGATGAAGTCAATGGAATTTTAGATGTGCTTTTCGATTTGAATGGAGAAGGATTTCCTCTGCTAAAGTATCTCCATATTCAAAATAATGGCCAGGTTCAGCATATCATCAACACAACAAAGCGGAATGAAACTCATGTTGTGTTTCCAAAATTGGAGACACTAATACTTCACAATCTCAATAACTTAGTGAAGGTATGTGATGGCCCACTTCCTGTTAATTCCTTTGGCAAACTCACAGTCATCAAAGTCAAACATTGTGATCAACTGGTATATCTCTTTTCTGTTTTAATGGAGAAAGCTCTTTCTCAACTTGTCGAGCTCCAAGTTTTGGGATGCAATTCAATGAAGAGGATTATGTTAATTGAAAATGAAAATAGTGAAATAAGTAGTGATGAGAAGATTGAGTTTCATTCACTACGCTTCTTGAGTCTTTGTCATTTGCCAGTCATCCATGATTTTTGCTCAAATGAAGTGACATCTTTTATGACAGCCACATCATTATTTAATGGCACTAAGGTATGTTTCTTTTTCATTCGTTTTATAATTTTGTTATTTACAATTTAGATCAAATGACTGAATCATAAGTAACTACCACAATGATCATGTATGGTATTTTTAAATATATATATATATATATCTAGAAGTAGAATGTCAAATTATTAATGTAATGAGGTACTCCCTCTGGATAAAATTATATTTTAGAGAAAATCATAATTTTGTTCTAACAAATTTGTTAGATAAATTATAGACAAGTCCTAAGATTCTCTAGTATCAATTTCTAACACGTGCAAAATATCTAAAATGCTATTCTAAACCTGACCTTTGACAGCCATTGATGGGTGACAAGCTGGTAAGTATTGGAACCAGCAGGGCATTAAAAAATTATCATTAATATTTTATTAATAATTAATTTAAATATGATTATCTTTTTTATGAAGTAAATATGATTATTTTAGTAATATTTTCTTGTAACAATTTACAAGCCCATATGCACTATTTACAAATCATACATTATTTACAACTTATATCTTTTCTCACACGTTCTTCAAATTTTATAAATCCATTTAAAATTTGGCCTCTTCTTTTTTCGCAAATTATATCCATAAATTTACAATTCTTTGGTTGTTATTTTTAACTCATAAATTGCTTCCCAATTCTTTTCATATTACAATTGATCAGTTCTCCTTTCAACTGCAATGGAAATTTTTTTACAAAACTCAACAACTCACTTTTCTCCGAGGTCATCCATACCTGTACATTTTTTATATATAGAAATACAGTTTTTATTTTTATTTTTAAGGAAAACTTCTCATTATGTTGGGTTATTTAATTTAGATTTATAATACTATAATTAGTGTTACAGTAATATATTAATACTCAAGCGTTGTCTTGGCTGACATGATCTTCAAGCTTGTTTAACAAATTCATTTTCCAACTTGTTTAAATGATAGTTTTGTACAAACGCGTTTACTTTTTAGAAGATGTTTACATAATAAATTTTTACAAATCCATTGTAATATACCGCTTGTTAAAATTAATTTTTATGGGGTGAAAATTTTTTCAATTCGAAAAAAAAAATCAATTTGCAACATTTGAAAAACCTATAAAAATGCACATTTTAAAGTTTAACTTGTAAATTTTAGAAAAAAAATTTGTAAATAATCAAAACTTTAAAAATCTTACAAGCAATTTATGAGGTGAAAATAGAAAAGAGTTAAAAAACAAAAGAGTAATAAAATGTGAAGAAATAATTTGTAGAATAGGTGAGAAAAAGCTTTAAATGGATTCATAAAATTTGAATATGAAAATAAAAATTAGTTGGGTGGTGAATTGATGCAAAGTTCTATTTGCAAATAGCAGACGTAGACTTGTAAATTGTTATCGGGAAATATTATTAAAATAATAGTATTTAAATAAAATATTATTGAAATTTTAATTAATTGTCATCCTGTCAACGGCCAAAGGTCTATATGTCATAAAAATTGTACCCAAATTCTTTGAGACTTATATATAATTTATTAAATTCATGAGACCAAATTATCAATGGCTTTACCAGTTTTGATCAAATTGTCATCTTTCCTTTTTTTTTTTTTCGGGATTTACCAAGTTGAAAGTAACAAATTTTTTTTTATCACAGGTTATTTTTCTAGTTTGGAGACCCTCAAGTTGAGTTCAATCAATCTGGAAAAAATTTGGGATGATGATCAGCTCTCTGCAGCGAATTGTATTCACAATTTGGCTAACTTGATAGTTGAGGATTGTAGAGGCCTCAAGCATTTATTCTCATCTTCTGTGATTGGAAGTCTTTTAAAACTTAAACACCTTGAAATAAGTAAATGTGAGATGATGGAGGAAATCATTGCTCCAGAAAGCAATGCAACACAAGAGGTATTACAGTTAGATTTGAAATAAATGTTAAGTCCATAACATCAAACATTTGCTCGTGTAGTTCTCTATTCAATATCATTCATATATAATGTTGGTTCTTTTGGATTTGTAAACTGTGCTTTGTATCACAGGTCCGATTCTCAAAATTGGAGACGATGGTAGTTAAAGACATGGAAAGCTTGAAGAAAGTATGGCACTTTCAATTTGAAAGGTTAAAGAGTTTGGAGGTGAGCAATTGCGGGAAACTGGCGAATATTTTCCCATCTGATATGCAGGGAACGTTTGGAAACCTTGAGACATTGAAGGTCAGCGATTGTGGTTCAGTGGAAGAGATATTCGAACTAACTGCCAATGAAATCCGTAATGAAGAGGAAACAACGACACAACAAGTCTCACAATTGAAGAAACTCCATCTGTTTCACTTGCCAAAGCTGAGAGAGATTTGGAGTAAAGATGCTCAAGAAAGCCTTCGTTTCCATAACCTGCAACTTGTGTGGGTTGAAGACTGTGAGGACTTGGAATACCTTTTTCCATTCTCCATTGCAATGCAAGCTACTCAACTGGAAAGTATTTCCATAAAGTATGCAGGGAGTTTGAAATATATTGTTTCAGGCGAAGGACCCACGGATGGTCCAGTCAAATTTGCGTTTAATCATTTGACCTCACTGGTGTTTTGGCATTTATTTCTACTGGAGGGATTTTTTGCTGAAAATCATAGTTTACTGCATCCATTATTAAGGGAAATAGATATTCGTGAATGTTGGAAACTGAAGCTCTTCAAGACAGAAAGTTCAAGTGGCAGAGAAAAAGTTTTCCATAGTAAACAAATATTAATGCAGCAGCCTCTTTTCGCGCTTGAAGAGGTATAAGAATTACTATATCAAAAAATCTTAATTTGTTGGGCACCATAAATATCTTAATGTGTGTATAATAATAAGTTGTTCATTACTTGCTTCTTGCCTCATTATTGCATATGTTTAATTATATTGCTTTGGACAAAATATTTGATCAATGCTTTTTTATTTGTGCTATATACAGGTGATTTGCAACTTGGAGACATTGGCCCTAAATAGTGAGGATGCAAGCATGATATTACAAGGGCAATTTTCACGAAAACACTTCAACAAACTCAGAAATCTTTATTTGGCAAATTTTGAAGATGATCATGCCACTTTTCCCTATTGGTTTTTCCAAAACATAACCACTCTCAATGAGCTAGTTGTTGAACAGAGTTCTTTCAAGGAGATATTCCGAGAAGAGATACCTACAAACGAGAAAGAAAAATCAGTGATCGGAATGAGAATTAAAAAATTGGTCATTATTCAATTGTCAGGTAAAGAAGGATTTCGAATGGATCCAATCCTAGAGGTTCTTGAATACTTATGGGTCTATGATTGTTCCAATTTGAGACACTTAGCACCTTCCTCTGTAACATTCCATCACCTGACGTATTTGGAGGTGGAAAATTGCAATGGATTACTTCACTTAATTACCTCATCAACTGCAAGAAGCCTGGTCAAATTAAAAGCAATGAAAATAGCAAAGTGCAATTCACTTGAGCAAGTTGTGGCAGAAGAGAGGGAGGGGTTTGAAGATGAAATTGCATTCAGCAGCTTAGAATTTTTGGAGCTCAAGTGTTTGCCAATGATCAAGAGGTTTTGTTCCTCCAATTACTTCTTAAACTTTCCGTTGTTAAAAGAAGTTGTCATTGAGCAATGCCCAAGAATGAACACCTTCTCAGCCGGGAGAGACACAAGCACACCAAAGCTTCGAAAGATATCATCAAAAGAAGAAGATGGAAACGTGTATTGGGAAGGTGATCTCAATAAGACAACAAACAAGATGTTTGCGGACAAGGTATGCTTTGATTTCACTAAAAAATCATTCTCTATTCCCCTGACACACGATGAGAAAATGGTATAAACGAACTGTCAGAAAAGCCAATTGTTTATGTAAAAAGAAAGCTGATTGTGAAAATATCTTTAATTTTTATTGTAAATATTTATTTTCATGATTTTATAGCTTTTATTAGCCTTTATTATTCACTCGTCCTTTTTATCGGCGTATCTGTTTGGATATATCTTAACTTTTAGATGAATTGAAAAATACAAATTTCTCATGTAATCCAGAATCACATATTGGTGCCATTGCCATAAAAGCATTAACGAAATAAAGATGAGGCTGTGTTTAGGTTTGAGTTAGATATTTTTATCCTTTTTATTTCTGCCAACATAATAGTTAGTTAATATTTTGAATGAATAGTATTAATTTTATTAACTGAAAGTAACAAAATGTTATTGTTTAATTTGCTTCGCTGCCCTTGTCTTTTCCCTTACCTTGGTAATTATTTGCACAGGTGGCATTTAGTAGCTTCAATCTTTTGGAATTTTCTGTATATCCAGAACTAAAAGAACTATGGTATGGCCAAGATGGGCCAAATGTATTCTGCAATTTGAAGCATCTAGTGGTGCGAAAATGTACATTCTTGTCCAACGTGATTTTTTCATCAAATTTACTGCGATTGTTACATACATTAGAGGAACTGGAAGTATCAGAGTGTGATTCGTTAGAAGTGGTATTTGATGTAAATGCGTTGGATGAGAAAGTAATAGAATCAAAGGAAGTTAGTCGGTTGAAGAAATTAACACTCTTGGGGCTTCCAAATTTGAAATGCATATGGAACAGAGAAGCAGGTGAAATAATCAGCTTTGAAAATTTACAAATTGTGAAAGTTGATGAATGCCAACGCCTGAAATGTTTGTTTTCGGTCTCACTGTGCCAAGGCTTGAGGCGACTTGAAGAGCTTCACATTGAGTCGTGTGGTGTTGAGGAGATTGTTTCAATTGAAGAAGGATTCGAGGAACTCAAGTTTGATTTTCCTCGGTTGACAATCTTGAACCTATTGAATCTGACACGGCTCACTAATTTCTATCCGAAAAGATATACTCTAGAGTGTCCTTCGTTGAAGTGGTTAGATGCTTGTGGATGTCAAGAATTGCAGATATTTTCATTTGACCATTTGAATCCCCAACAGCTTAGGAAGGGTGACGATGAGTCGCAAATTGAACAAGCTTTGTTTTATATTGAAAAGGTATGCATCTTTTTTTTTTTTTGCTTCTATCTGCCTTTAATTACATTTTTTCTCTAGACAAAAAGATGCATGGTTGAGGAAAACTATAATTATATATGTGGTTTGTAAAAGTATAAAAAAATGTTTTATGTTAACTTATTAGTTGATTATATGATGAAAGAAACAAGTTATATTTTCTCTGTCAGGTGTCTCAAAATTTGGAGAATTTGCCATTAAATGAAAAGGACACTATGAGGATACTGATTGGCAACTATGAGAAAAATCTCTTTCAGAGCATCAAATCGCTTAATTTGCAATATTTTAAGGGAACTCCAATAAAGTTTCTGTATGATTTGATCCAAATATTTCCAGTTATGAACGCACTACAAGCACGTTGCAGTTCTTTTGAAACACTCTTTCATTCAAAAGAAATTAGTCATTGTTGTATTGAAAGCCCCACCCAAATTAAAACGTTGTGGCTATCTCAATTGGAGAAGCTTGAGCATATATGGAATGATGACAACTCAGCATCGCATCCGCTGGTTCGAAACCTTGAAGTTATGCTTATAAATCAATGTTCTAGGTTAAGAAGATTGGCACCACCTTTGACATCTTTTGCCAGTTTAACCACCTTGGGAGTCAAGGATTGCAATGGCTTGATGTACTTCATGACACCTTTCATGGCTAAAAGTCTCGTCCACCTCACAATGTTAATAGTTAGCAACTGTGGGATGCTAGAGGAGGTTGTGATAACTAATGAAGGAGGATCAGAGGAAGAAATCATATTTGAAAGCTTGGAGTATTTGAAACTAACTTGTCTATCAAGTTTCAAAAGCTTTTGCTCTGGAAAACACACCTTCATATTCCCCTCTTTGGTGACGTTGGAAGTGACAGGATGCCCCAAAATGCAAAATTTCTCAGCTGGAATCATTATTGCGCCATTTCTAAAATTAGTGACAGTGGAAAATGGGAAAAAATGCTGGAAAGGAGACCTTAACACCACTATCAAGCATTTGTTCACAGACAAGGTATGTATGCTAAATAGTAAATTCTGAGATGATTGGCACTCCTGTAATAGCATGTCTGTGTCTCAACCTTCATTTGTAAAATCTAAAGAACTAGATTTAGACAATATTGTGCTACAACAAAATATGATTGACTGGAAAAATATGTAAAACTTGAACACAGTCAAATGAAAACTTAAATATGGATACAAATATCTTGTGTGTCTACCTTAATCAGGAAATTCGAGAAGGAGATGAGGGGAACCATAAGGAATCTTCAAGTAATATTACAAAAAGTACTCAAACTCATCAAATGACTGCGAGTACTACTGGAGCATCAAGCTCCGAAGAGCAAGTAGGACAATCAAAGCTTGGTCTGATTACAGACACTGGGAAGCAAGAAGCACACAACCTTCCAAGTCAATCTTATGACAAAGAGCAGAATGAGCATGCCTCCTCAGGTATTGAGAGGCCTCTGGCTCAGGTTACTCAAAATGCCTCCAACCCTTCTACAAATGAAGATACAGGTATTGAGATTGTCTTGCATTCTTCAATTTGCCATAAATATACTACCTCCAGTCCTATTTATAAGACTCTATTCGTAGACTACAAACGAGGTCTCATAATATGGACCGGAAGTAGGAATAAGATACTTCTTCAACTTTGACCTTAATTTCTTTTAGAGGTTTTAGTGTCTTAGCTATTTATCAATATCACTGTCCTTTGGTATATTTAGTGACTGATTCCTTTTGTTCAATAGAATGCTTAATGACACGTTGTTATCATATTCGCTGGCTTGATTTGATTGTTGTTCTTTTTTTGGTTGAACACTTTGAATTCTGATTTTATAACCTGAAATCATCTAAAAATAATTGACATGACCAGAAAATTTCTCTCAATGCCTAATTGTTTAATCAAATCACTACCTTTCTTTATTAGCCTCAGGGAACATAAAGCATTTCTCTCACGGGCAAGAAGGAAGAAATTTATTATTATTTTTTCTGCAACCTCATGCAATTCTGTATTAAATTTCTCGCTAATTTAGTTATCGACACACAAAAGATGTGTGAAAATCATCTGGGGACCCTTATTTTCAACTACTCAAGTCATGCTCAATCTTACAAAAGCTGATCTAGGTTTTGACCTTGTTACAGTACTCTTATTTTTGTTTATTTAAAAGGAAGACAAGTCATTATTTAGCTATTTAGATTCGAAGAATGCATGAAACCGTTGAGAGGAGATTTGTTTAGGTTGCTCGAAACAAAGATGTGCGTCTTTTTATTAATTACTGATTTTAATGTGCTATATATTATGGGAATTGAAAACTACTAGAAAAACCACAAGACTCAGAGACTCAATCTAGCAAGAATCTGTCAAAGCAAGACACAACTGTCAACAATAAAGAAAGTGATGTTTTTCTTTCTTTCTTTTCTTTTTGGTTCTGTTTTGCAGTTTTCAGAAGTAATGTAATTTTATTTTGTTAAAATGTTGTATCATTTGTATTTACTCTGGCATTTTTAAAACTAATAGGTTTAGACAAGGGGACTCAAGAGATTTGTGAGAACATTGAAAGGCCATTGGTTGAAGCTGTTAAAATTGCTCTTAGCCCTACAAGAGTTTATGATGCAGGTACTGGTATTGTTTTTAACATGTGACAGCTTATCTAAATTGCTTTCTTGTAGGGTAATGCATGTTCATTATAGCACTTGGCTTATTAATTTTTTCTGACTTTCTTTTATGTGAATCGAAATATATTAGAGGAATCACAAGACTTGGAAATTCATCCAAGTGAGAATTTGACCATCCAGAACTCTTTTTTTCCTTCTACAGAAAGCTCAAGAACACATTTTTATTGCATTGATCATAGGCTTAATTGTTTTTATTTATTTAGAAAAATTAATATTAGTTGCTATTATGGGAAACAAAATCAACTACAAAAGAATCACTGACTTAAAAGTTCCCATTTGGTAAAAATTTGCTTAATCAGATTTTCACTACTACTATTATTGCTCACAATAGAGGAAGTTACATTTCTTTCACATGCTAGAGGGAAGGAAATTGTTTTTATTTTGCTAAAGTCTCGTGTAAAATATTTTAAATTTAATTTTGTGCTTTTACTTTTTGTCACTTAGTATTAAGACTCAACAGATACATATGTATCTTTTTTAATAAAATTGTCTTCTATAAAAAAAAAAATATATATATTTGAAGTCATCAAAAGGCCGGTGGTTATAACCACTAAAGACACAATATCTCCTTCATTTCAGTATCCACGGGTTGATCTTATTGTATTACTCATAGTCTTAATTAATTAATATTTCTAACTTCTTACTTTGTGAGAAATCTTTTGAAACAAGCTCGCGACTTGGAAATTTGGCCTCATAAAACTTCGTTCACCCTGGCCACAGGCTCTTCAAATATGGGGGGAAAGAAGTGCAAATTTTAGATTCTTTTTAGAAGTAGGAACTTTTTTATTTTGTAAATG